TGGGATTTCAGGACCATTGTTGTCAACATTTGTGTTTAATCTGTTTCTTTTCAGACGCTCAGCTCTCATCCTTTCAGTAACCATTTCTTCCTTCACTCTAATTTCCTTCTTGTTTTTCCCCTTTCCACACAACACGGTCCATGGCATTTTTTGTTCTCATGAATTCAACCCAATACCTCATTCATGTCCCGCTTGCGCACATCTTTATATCGTAGTAGAGGTCGGCCTCGACATCTTCTTTCAGTCTTTAATTCACCATAAAGGATGTCCTTAGGAACTCTGCCCATCCTCCATTCTCCAGGTGCGACCCAGCCACCTGAGCCTTAGTAGGCTGTGCATGGAAAAGACTTTTGTAGTACCTGCTCTTTCCAGTACTTCAGTGTTTGTGATTTCGTCCTGCCACTTAATGCCAAGTATTCTTCTTAGAGACGGCCTGTGACATAGGTTTTGCCACTCTCTAGGGGAGTTGTGTGTTAGACCCAGTATCGAAATATTTTAGAAGTGTTAAAAGTTCTGGCATGGAAAAATATACAAAACGTGGGATGAGCGCGAGTGCGGAATAGCTGCGTGACCTTGTGTAAAAGTCGGATCACTCGAGGCCGACCTATTAGTGGTAAGGTGGTCAGTTCCAACCAGAAGCGAGCTAGTGTGTATCTGTGTATTAATGGGAAGACCAGTTTAACATTTACCCTAGTACATCATCTCCTTGAGAGATGCAAATTGTCGTTATTTGAAGCTCTTCTCAGGCTCTTGCCAGGGGCCGCAATATATAGCCCAGCCATAAATATAGTCTAATGACTTATTCGGTTTCTGGAACCTCTCCACGGTGATCCTCATCCACAAGCTGGCACTTTGAGTCATCGGGTGTTTATCGCTTGTGTGATGTCTTTGTGGGGTAAAAGAATAAAGAAAGAAAGGAAAGGTAAAATTTACCCAACTTTGTCCGTTTTGTTTCTTGTGGCGTATGATTTTTGAAGAAATACAGCGAGGTAGCTCTTTGAATAATATGTACGAGGCATAAAGGTCTGGAGAATTTTGTCATAGCAGAAAAGATCAAAAGTCTTAGAAACAGAACTATGCATGTGTAAGGGGAGATTATCTCCCTCGTTAGTAGGGGTAGTATTGAGAAGAATGTATGTAAGATCAATTCGAGTGTCAAGTGAACGCAAACGCAAACTGTGCAGTTTGGCTAAAAGTATGCGAAGAGAAGAAAATACAAATGCTTCAAAACAGACAGTCTGGAGGTTCACGATGAAAGGAAGATGCTCTTTAAGCCGTGAAAGAATGACAAGTCTTATGGAAATTGGAGTGCCTGAGCTGATTGTATCATGAGAAGAACGAATGAATGTCTTCAACCTACTAGCCCGAAGGATCCTGACTAATCAATCCATGACAAAACGGAACGGAGACGAGAATGTCAGTTGTACTGTCCCATTGTGAATGCGGATTTAGTAGCCGCGAAGTGCTTGCATGAGATGTACTGAAAGTGAGAATCATGCATGGTAACTGTTAGTAGTTGCTTGTGAACATAGCCAGTACCTTAGACGATACTCATGTTGGCGCAATATTTGATCGAGAGGACATCGCTGAAGACCAAACGGGGTCTTTATCAGCTGTTCGGTGTTTTCTCAACGTTTGCTAACGTTCAAGCTTGCTGTGTTGAAGTATCTTTCAATGTGTCAGAGCAGACTGCATGATTAGAGCCCAAAGACAGTAACTAAACATGAGAAGGACGTAAAACACGAGGTAGACCAATAACAACATGGACAAATAACATCAGAGAACATCTACAAAAGCACGATGTGTGTATGGTCGTTGTGGCCAGATGAACAACAATCAGAACATTCAATCTCGCTCGACCTTCGAAGTTTTAAAAGAGGAAGTCAAAAAGAAGAAGATGGTGAAGGGACCTTTAGATTAACGTGGAGGACGATCAGAGTAAAACCTATCAAGAAAAACGAATCTCCATTTGGGTTTCGCAATCCCATTTTGGTGAAAAGTGCAAGTCGAAAAAGCGATTAATTAAGGGGTTGCTGAAATCGGTTACATTTTCCCGAGAGTCGTAGACAGGTAGCTTAGCCGTGAACCGAAATACCGCCATTTACCTTTTCAATGACATACCGCGGAAGAAAAAGAAGGAGAAGAAGAACGAACGAACGTTATTTTTCAAAGGGTCACAAATTGGGCACGCAGGCCCGTCTTACATTCGGCCCTTCCAGTCAACCATCTTTCGCACAGCAGTTGTATTTTACTAATAAAGCATGTTATGATCATATGATGAGATATATTTTATGAATATTATAAAAGAACACAAAAGCATGAGTTGTAAAGTGCATGCAAAAGCCCGAAGGAGGAGGAGAAGAAGAAGAAGAAGAAGAAGAAGAAGAAGAAGAAGAAGACGAAGAAGAAGAAGAAGAAGAAGAAGAAGAAGAAGAAGAAGAAGAAGAAGAAGAAGAAGAAGAAGAAGAAGAAGAAGAAGAAGAAGGAGGAGGAGGAGAGGAAGAAGAAGAAGAAGAAAAAAGAGATTAAAAAAACATAAAAATTAAAAAGAAGGAGAAAAAGTAGAAGAAGAAGCAGAAGAAGAAGAAGAAGAAGAAGAAGAAGAAGAAGAAGAAGAAGAAGAAGAAGAAGAAGAAGAAGAAGAAGAAGAAGAAGAAGAAGAAGAAGAAGAAGAAAAAGAAGAAGAAGAAGAAGAAGAAGAAGACAAAAGAAGATGATTAAAACGAAGAAGAAGAAGAGGAAGAAGAAGAAGAAGAATAAGAAGAAGACGAAGAAAAAGAAGAAGAAGAAGAAGAAGAAGAAGAAGAAGAAGAAGAAGAAGAAGAAGAAGAAGAAGAAGAAGAAGAAGAAGAAGAAGACAATTTAATAAGGCCCAAAGAGAATTGGTAACAACAGTACTATTTGTTTATTACAGAGGAAAAACACAATGCAGTCGATGGATCGGCAATACGGACAATACGTTACAGAGACATAGACTCAGTTTCTGTAACAACACCTGCCGCTCGGACATAAACTGCAGCTTTACACTTTATAATTGAACGTTTTAATAATGCCACCAAAGATGAAAGGAACGACGTCAATGCAAAAGGTTTTCTACCAGCTGGCTGATCCTGTCCCCGAGGGGACTGAGTAGTCGCCAGCTGTCAGCTACTGGATGTCAGACAAGACTGTGCTGAAAAGAAACATCATGATCGGAGTGTAACTTGGGGTATAGAAATATGCAAGGCTCTTTATTCTGAAAATATTACGACACTTAAAGCTAAGGAAGAGTTTACAAGGAAATCTTCTGTAGTGAATTAGAAATTGGTTTACGATGTTGATTTCAGCCTCTACTAATATTTAAAAATGTGTGGGAACAGGGCATGAAGGATACACGTATTGAGGTGGATTCGTAGGGATCAGGATGTCCTGGGTGGCATTTCGTGTAGGGGGATATTAGAAAAGGAATACAGGCAAAGGAGACCAGGACTGCAAACAGGTTGAGATCTAAGCGTCAAAGAAGAAACATGCTGTGCATACAACAGCTGTGCAAAAGATGGTTGACTGGAAGGGTCGAATGTAAGACGGGCCTGCGTGCCCAATTTAAGACTCTTTGAAAATAAAGTTCGTTCGTTCGTTCGTTCATGCCAAATATATGTCACGGCAACAATGGTGATGAAATATCATGTAGTTACTGTGGAAGATTCTTAGTAATGTAGTTGGTCTTGCTAATCCCATACATAGTCGCCATGGTTTACATGCTCTCTTATAACACACGGGAACACTATCGCTTGAAAAGTCGGGAGAATGTCAACGTTGTTCAGACAATAGAGTATTTCACATAATTGTGAAATATATACTGCCAGTAAAGGAGCTAAACGATATTTCCTGGCTGCAGAGTTTTGGGGTTTGAGAAGAATGCAGAGAATATAAAGGAGTGATAGGAAAAAAAAAAGGCAGTCCACATCAAGACAGATGAAAACCGTAAACTTATTCAAATTAGACGTAGACAGTCGGTGTTTTGTGGATAGTGACTTGTTGAGATGAGAGCATGGACTCACATACCTGTATTGCGACTGGGACTTGGACAAACAACTACTTGAACTGCCACCTGGGAACAGCCTTCAGCGAAGATTCGTAATGCGGTGGATACCGTCACATTGTGAAGTGCCTTTAAATGAGAAATCTGATCAACTGGCAGGGGAAGGTGCAACAAAAGTGCAGCCGGATGTACCAGTCACATACTACCAAAAGAAAAGAATCATTTAATCGATCAGGAAACCACCAGACCCAGCAGAAGACGACTATTTTATTATGGACATAAAAACAAGTCATTATCCTCCCGCTCAGAACAGGGCACAACCGATTACGTAACCACGTGTACACAAAATTCAAGAAAGGCGTATCAGCCATGTGCACCTGTGGAAAGGTGCCCCAGACAGCAGAGCATGTACTCCAGGACTGCACCAAATTTGACACATTAGGGGAAACCTTTTGGTCAAAAAGAACAACAGTGGAACGTAAACTCTATGGACCACTGAATGAATTAACGACGACAGTGAAATTTATACAAGAGACGAAATTGCTGATAAAGACAACTTATTTCAGGAGAACGAAAGAAGAAGAGGAAGAAGAAGCTGCAGTTGCAGGGTTGGATACCTGGTTATGGGTTATGTGATAGCAGGACATTTCAATATAATCTTGTTAGAAGAGGCAGGGGACACATTCTGCATGACTCACTACTAGACAGTGTTCATTCACAACAGGTACAACAAGAATTAACATTTTCGTTTCAACATTTAAAAGAACATACCCGCATAATATTGTTTTTTTAAACATGGGATTTGTCTTCGACATCGTCTGCTGCTATAATAAAATGTGTTTATTACTTGCCATCACTAAACAATAAAAAGCAATGGGGGTAATTATAACTTAGTCATGGAAATAATACTTATATGGACGAGTTTTTTTAGACACGACATTGTTTCACTTTAGCGGGATTGCTTTAACAGAACTTGGGAATGAGGAGTCAAATTGAATCATTTTTGGTGGTTGCAGGGGTGATTGCTGGAGGAGTTTTAGTGAATGTACCGTTAGCTGTAGGTTGGTTCTATGGCAATTTGTCACCTTATATCGACTCTTATTTCATCGCGTCCCTTGGAAGAGAAAATCACACAGCAGGGTCCCTGTGGATGACATCACTGTGGCTACTGGCAATTTCACCGTGCTTAGTCCTTTCAGGATATATGGTTCGCTACATTGGCCCTCGATGGACTCTCGTATCTGGAATGATCTGTTTCAACGTAGGGATCTTCATGAGCTACTTCACACTAAAGTCCAGTTTCGTGTCATTGCATGTGACCCTCGCTGTGATGACCGGACTGGGTTGCGGACTGAGCTACTCCATGACCCTATTGTACGCTGGAACATGGGTCAAAAGCCGTGTGGGTCTGGCTACAGCGGCTGTGTCGTGTACACTGGGTGGAGGAGCGCTGTTCGTGAACTTGGCTATAACGTTTTACATCAACCCGCATAATTTACAACCGGATATCTTTGTTGGTGATAGCACATATTTCTCACAGAGGGAAATTATAGACCGTGTGCCGACCGTGTTTTTAGTGATCGGCGGGTTGTCATCTGGTTGTCATTTAGTAGCGATTTTCTTGATGAGACATCATCCCGACTTTGATAAATACAAGAATTCTGCCAGGAAGTCTTTAGAAAATGGCATTTCATCTACGAATTTAACAGACAAGAGTGTCAGTAAGACAGCATCTTATGCTTCGACTGGAACATCATACACTTCAGCTGCGAATGACTGTGAAAACAAGTCTTCTTGTCATGAAGGGGATCTGCCTGATGGGACGAAAGATCTTACAGAACAAGAACTCCAACTGTCACCTGGACAGGTGCTAAAATCCAGCGCTTTCTACCTTATTTCGATATCTGTAGCCCTGCTCATGGTAGGGTATACAATAGAATTAAGCATGTACAAACAGTTTGGGTTAGTTTATATCCCTGACGATTACTTTGTGGCAAACATTGGAGTAGGAATCAACATTGTTGTTGCCGTTAGTAGGATTCTCTGGGGTTACACGCTGGATATTTTCAATGTAAAAACCATGTTCATAGCCGTTACTTCCTCTCATACAATACTCTCAGCATTTTGGTATTTTACTCCACTGGCAAATCGATGGCTTTACTTATTCTGTACTTTAGCTCTGCAAGCGTCGTTTAACGGAATCATGATCGTTGCTCCAGTGGGAGTTTTGAGGCTGTTCGGCAAAGAATATTATTTGATCAATTACGGAATGACATTTTCTGTATCCAACGTTTCATTTCTGACAATTCCACAGGTGGCCGTAATTGTCCGCGCCACTCTAGGATGGTACTGGTTGTTCTGTTTGGTCCCAACGACAAGTCTTCTCGCTTTAATTTTGTCATTGTGTCTTCCCAAGTTTCCACAGCAATAA